GGGGGGGGGGGGGGGGGGGGGGGGGGGGGGGGGGGGGGGTTGAGCTAGGGTAAGCGTGGTATGTCTCCTGGATAGGGTGGGCTAGGGTGGACGTAGATGGGCGGGGAGGGGAAGAGGAAAAAAGGACCGGGAATGTTGTTTTAGGTTTCAGGGTGTCGTGACGGTGTATAGGGGCAGGCCTATAGCTGGAAAGGAACTGAGATCTGGCTTGAAAATAAAAATTTTTTTTGGGAAAGCAAGGGTAGAAATTATGAACGGGGAGAGGGGGGAGGGAAGGAGGCATGGAAAGAGAAATTATATGGGTCCAAGATGCTAAATGAGAAATTAGCCGCTGAGTGAAAGCTGATAAGCTTGTGCTTGCATACCAGAATTTCGCCGAAACAAAAAATCCGATCTTGGGCAAGAAGTGCTCCGTTCTTAGATTCTGCTTCAGGAACCGATCAGTACTTAGTAAATTCATCTTTTCTGATGATACAGGAATTGAGTGCCTTATCAGCACGCTATTCTCATAAAAAGCGTTTCCTCATAATCGTTTGTACTGATTGTCCATGTCACGGGTTAACTCCTGTCTTTTCTCTCTCTCATCCCTTTTGCTTTCTCATTGATTTCTCTTCCTTTCGCATATTCCTCTTTGAAATTATTTACATGACTGTTAAGAATATGGCGGGTAGGAAGCAGTACTGATGATTCCCGCTCTTAACCGCGTGCAAAGTTCGGTCTATGTTTACAGCTAAGAGATGAAACACAGAGACTGCATCGTTAAATGTCTTCTTACACACGACACTTAAGTCCACTCCCTCTGTTCTACTATTTCATAACTCCTCCCACGAATTTGTGCATTTTTCCCCCAGGGTGGATGCATTTTGCATGGATGAACCGAGTTTTAGCAGTTACCTTATTTTTGTGAATCTGCGAAAAAATTTGCATCTTTTTTGCAACGAAATTTGCATCTGATTTACTTAATTTTTGCGAATTCGTTGGGTGGGAATCATTCCAAAGTAGTGTGAGCAAACGAAACGGCTGGATGTTTTTCATCGAAAAGAAATTGCGGCTGTTAGCAAAACCCCATAATTTCCTTCAGCTGTACCAGCAGCGCCGAGTTCACTTGGCGAAACTTGCCGCTTCTCGCCGACTGATTGGTGAAAATTTTCTATATAGATGGACTATTTGAAAATAATAATGAAACTGGCCTTTCTGATCACATCCTTTTTACTACATTGGTGCTTGAACATAAAATTTTATTGAATTAAAAAAATTTTAGAATTTTTGGACTTTGGTGCAAATTTTTTTTTGAGAGGCTGGAATTTTAAGGGGATGTTCTCTGTCCATGCAGAACTTAATGACTTTAATACGAATTTTTTTTTTTTTTGAGAGGCTGAAATTTTAAAGGGATGTTCTCTCTCCATGTGGAACTTCAGCCCCAAGGTATGCGTGGTCCTTACGTACAGATACCAAAAGTTAATGATATTACTGAGATACTATGTTAGGCCCTTCGGAATTGCGTTGTATACCTTCATTAGTATCCTCCACGTGTTCGATATATGTGCTCTTTTCGAAGATCGCCTGAGTAATCGTTTTGTTTCTTGCCGATACAATTCATCAGTGTACGAAGTCTGTTGATTCCTTTAATATTAGAACAAATGGCTTAAAAGTTGACGAAGTTGCTCGAAGATTTTTCAGTGCACAAATTACAATAATAATAATTGGTCAGCGCTTGGACTGCCGATGCGAAGATGTGTTTTTTGCACAGTTCTCCGCAGATTTTTGTCGTTAACGGCACTGCTTTTTCCGGCAGATGCTTCTAGCTAAAAGAATAGAGACTGGCCACCAGGACCAAAGAAAATATCCCTTTAAAATTTCAGCTTTATAGCTTTTCAAGTTCTCGATTTAGCAACTTACTCGCCAGAAACTTTGACAGACCCGTGCTTGGGGATCGCATGGGTAAGATCGCCCATTCTAGGGATTGGGATCCGTACATGCATGTAGATTGAGTTCTCAAAGTTTCAGCTTTGTGGCTCTTGTAGATCTCGAGATGAAAAATCGCCATCGATGAACACACAGACAACCCCTCGACAGTATGCGTTGTTGCATTGCATAGATGCAAAAAA